ACGACCCGGAGGAAGCGGCACGTATTGGCCGCATCCGGTTTTTCCAAAGGTCGGGCCCCCGCCGCGGAATGTCGTCGGGGTTTCTTGTGCAGGGAAGGAGACCCTGGTAGGAAATCTGCAAAGGCGATAGCAAGGACTTTAGGATGTCGACCTATCGATACCATATCTAACAGAATTCACGGTTTAGAGAAGAAAATAGTAGAAAAGTAGTAGGAAAGTTCTATAGAAATTTTATCTACGGGGTATAGTTTACTTGTAATCATTTTTTATACAATCGCCAAAGTAAGACAACTCGTGACGGATTTTACGCTGGCTGGCCATTTGTTAGTTCATTAATGTAAGAAAACTAGGCACCGTAGAAAACGGTTCTACAAGACCTTTCGACTCTATTTCCAATGCTGCGTTCTGTATAGGGCCTCCTTTGGAATGTCACACTTTCCTATGTGAGGCCTAACTTAGCCGAGTAAATGATGAATAAGACGGTATTGCGAGATAGAATTACCTTGCATGCCGAATTGAATCCTAATTAGGGTTTAACTCGACGTTAACCGGCAAGAATAGTCTTGGATTCTTGACGGAGCCCTATCTAGGGGGGGGAAAACCCTATCCTGGAAGCCCTAGCTAGGGCTTATCTATTATCTTGAATTTCCATCTCAGTTTTTCGTGGAATGATCTCCAGAAAAGAGAAGCTAAAGTGTCTTTATTGAAAATGTAGCATAATCCATTAACTTTGTCGGTGACAAAGCAAAGTGATCCGCGCGATGAATCATCTCCTGCGGTTTTGGTTGCCACAAGGGTCCGGCGACACATCGCTCGTCCAGGACTCCTCGGGTCACCAAGAGGTCCGGGTGCGAAATGTCGTAACGACGTGTTAAAACCGACTCGCGGTGGAGCCGTTAACACTTGGTTGAGCCGTTAACTCGGTTGTTCCTGGCAGGCTCGACTCGGTCGGTGTCGTCCGAGAACCCGGATGATCTTCCAGGGAAAGTGCGCACTAATTGGGGACACCGCTGATGGGAACACGGCGTCCCTTGAGGACGTTGGCGTTCGTTACATCCAGAATTAATTGGTTCTTTGGTACGTTCGTCCTTTTCATGGACTTATGCATTCCGGTCGACCTCAACGACGAGGCCGAGGTGCAGGTCAGGCTCCTAGGTCTTGGGAGGAAATCTCGACCTCTTCGTCGCCCTCGGAGGTGCTAATGCACCAGGCAGTTAGCGAGTTGTTACGTAGGCCTGAGGTGTTCCCAGGCGAATCTCCCACGGAGAAATCCCCAGGCTACGTGGAGGGGCCCAGGACACACGAATATCCTGGGGAAATCGTGCCCGGTGCCGAGGCGAAGTGCCACGTCCCGCCTGGCGTTCTTCGGCTGAATGGACGGGAAGTGCCGCGCGGGTCACCCGTCCATTCCCCGAGTTTATGTACTTGTCAGGAGGGAAACAAAGTGTCGGGAGATGAGGAAAATAAATTACTGCCAATCCTATTCGCGATTCTACGAGGCGAGCGCGCACCCGGGGCGACGGCTCGACGGCGAGGGGTACCTCGGGCAGGACCCTGGGTTTCTACTGAAACGGAATCCCGGGCCGTAAAGTTCGCCGCCGGAGACGGGGCGACACTTTGCCTGGACCCCAGGTGGAGGCACCTCGAAGGTGCAGCTGACAGAAGCGAGAAAGAGGCGGACGAGGACAGAACCAACGGATTATCCCGGTTTCGCGGTGATGGCGGATGACTCGGACGACCACCTGACACCTTGCACGTTGAAGGATACCGTTCCGCCACATAAGAATAATCGCGGGACCTGTTTGTCACGGAACTCAAGAAATTTGGGATGAATATCTTTCGGATGAATTCAAATAAAAATAATTCCGTATAGTATCTAGGCCCTAGCTAGGGTTTCCAGATCCCTAGCCCTAGCCGAAGGGGCCCTAGATAGGGCTAAGCCCTTCCTACAAGGCAGTTTTTCTGGGACTACTTCAATCTAAAACCTAGTTACGATTTAATTTCGTGCCTAAGGTAATTTTATCTAGGGTTCCCGGGTTAGTGCCTAGCTAAGGTCTGCTTAAAATTGAATTATGCATCTACGTACTTGCGTTCGATTTTCCTTTCCTGATTTAACTTAGAATTTTCTAGTTAATTCCCAGGTAGAAAGTGAAATTCGAGGGTAGGCCTTATAGATTGACGTCCTAGCTAGGTCTTGGGTCCTGTCCTTGGAAATTTCCTATATTATTCCCCAGAAATGGTAACACGTCTATAACGTAACGTGACTTATTAGCCCGAGGTGAACTAACCTCGCGAAACTCGGGTTTCAGCATAAGTGCTCGGACATTCCTGGAAATGTCACTTTTCATTTTAATGCACCTGACTGTCGGTGAAAAATCACGCGGCCGCCTAATGTATGTAAACAGGTGCTCGGCCGGCACCTGTTTGGAGAAAAAATAGTGCTAGACATGCAGAGAAACGCCGCCGTTGTGCCGAACGAGTCCCGTTCTAGCGGAAAAAGTCTGCCCACTGGAAGCGGTTCTCGCAGAGATAAAATAACACAACTTGCGGAGCTTGCTTGGGCAGAATTGCCGTTTCATAAGGGACTGGGGTCGCCGGGAATAAAAGTCCATCGGCGATTTATCAGCGGGAACTGTTCGCCATATTGGGACTCGGTCACCCAAGAGATCTCGCCCACGATCTGAGGACAGCATCCTCATTTTTTCTCCCCTTCTTCAAGCATTTCTGACGAAAGAAATCCGAGATTTGTCGGGTCTAACGGCGATTTAAGAGTTTTCGCAACCCTAAATAATTCAGGCAATGCGAAAGGTGCCAAACGATTTATGAAACCTTTCTCCGAGCTGAGCGAAATTCAAGTGTCGAAATTTAACCAGTTGTATATGAAGGCTCTAAAAGAAGATACTAACATTATGGAAGTGGGATTCCTTCCAAGAAGGGACGTCGACGTCTGGGAGATTCGAGAGGAAGTATTCAGAGTACTTGATCATTCGTAAAACTGACGAATGAAGCACTTTAATCATATTCGATATTCGCAGATTGGTTATCTAGGGTTGGATAAAAAGAAAATGTAAAAAGGAACGCAACTTACGAAAGTGGGATTCCTTCCAAGAAAGGACAACCCCGAGGTTCGGGGGGACACGGGAATTATTGAGAGTACCTACACACGAGTGGTGACAAATTTACTTAACGACGGTCGTTAAGTCGGCTTTCTCGCCGCGAGGTCGTGCTCGGCCAATCGGGACGTGGCAATAAGTTCGTTAGACTCGGCCATTCGTCGCCAAGTCGGCGAATCGATGCTGATTGGTCGCCTAAGAAGCCGTTACTCGCGGTTCCGGTACAGCGGAATCCGCGATCGGCCCGAGGGAATCATCAAAGCAGAACGCGTCGGATTTTTCTCTCCTGCGGATCTGTCGATCACGATCGGCCGAGATTGGCTGATTAAGAGGCGCAAACCCATTGGCCGTGAATCCGGCCATCTCGGGATATCCACAGAGTGGCAAGTCCGTTCCGCGACACTCTCCGCTTAGTCGTCGATAATCTCCGCAAACGGCTCGGCGACTCGAGAACTCGATCCCCGGAAATCGCTCCTTCAGTTCTTGGATTAACGTATCCATCGTGATCGCAATCCATGCAGAAAATCCGCGAAGACCTAGCTAGGCCCTACCTAGGGTTATCCACCCTATCAAGATAGGGCTTACACTTTTTTTACATAGGGCTCAGTCAGGGCATCTAAAGTTTTGCCAATGTGTAATTGAATTTTGAAGGAGATTCTAGTTAAGCGCTGATGAGAAAAGCCTGGATGATTGTTATGGACGTCGTATTAGATCCTAGGTGGATCTTAGCTTGGTGATGGTCAGGACAAATCGCAATCCATGCAGAAAATCCCCGAAGACCTAGCTAGGCCCTACCTAGGGTTATCTACCCTATCAAGATAGGGCTTACACTTTTTTTACATAGGGCTCAGTCAGGGCATCTAAAGTTTGCCCGGTAAAAGAAGAATCGGACAAAATTGTCAATCTGTAATTGAATTTTGAAGGAGATTCTAGTTAAGCGCTGATGAGAAAAGCCTGGATGATTGCTTTGGACGTCGTATTAGATCCTAGGTGGATCTTAACTTGGTGATGATCAGGACAAAAATTGTCTTGGGTGGAAGATCTAGCCCTATGTAGAGATTAATTTGGCTAGGGCAGGGACCTCTATCGTGAAAACCCTAGCTAGGGTTCAGATAGTATCCGAGATTTCCTGGTCAGTTTTTCACGTGGATTCTGAACTTTTCAAACGATCAGTCGCTTCCGGCTGGACCAAGGCTCCTCAAAGGGTTCCGATCGTCTTCGGCAGGATTCCGTCGGGATCGTCGGTGCGCCTTCTTAAGGTCGATCGTATCGGGCCCCGCGAATTCGGCGGTGAAGACGAGTTACAGCCCCCATAAAATGCACCGCACTTTAACGACGACAAGAATTTATTGGATATTTCGGTAGCCCCGCGGGCGTTGAAACCTGCGTCCGTCTATCCTTGGCCCCGACCTCTTCGAGATCGGGGCGGATGATAATTGAACCAGGACGGGCTCATTTATTGGGCGTAAATCTCTCTAGCTTCTTCTTCCCTCCTTGTGCCGATTCATTGGCGGCGAGGAACCTCTCCTCGAAGAAACCTAAATCCCCTGATTTTGTTACAACCCTTTCCGAGTGGAAAGCGCTGATCAGCTGTTTTGAACGTCCCTACTTCACAGCTTTCGACGCTCAGACATTGACTGTTAATTTTTTACTCTTACTAGGTATATGTCGATAAATATTTAATGAAGCAAAGCGCAATGAAATCAATGATACTTCTAGAGTGCGCATGTTTTCAAGCCGTGGGGGAAAAAGGATGTGAACAACTGCATTATGCATCGCATGTCATGCCGAATTTAGGGATGTTCCCCTACAATCGGCAATCTGGCATCGTCCTACGTTTTTGATTTTTGAATGTTGACTGATTTAAGTCTTCTTACTTGATTACAGGTGAGGTGTCTAGCGAGACCGCATCCTTGGACACGGTTTCACGTGGCGGGGAGCGCGGAGAGACGGCGGACCTAGGAGCACACACGGAGACCAACGACGGGGGCACCCTGGCCGCGAATACAGCGGTGGACGCCAGGGGCGGAAGCCCCCAGGGCGCTCACATCTCGGGGGCTGCCACCCCCAGGCCTCCTCGAGGCAGGAGGCGCCAGAACCAAAACGGCCTCGACACCACTCAGGTGAGTGACTTCGGTGATGATCTTGGGAACCCTATCTAGGGATCCTATCAAACCCTATCCAACCCTATCTAACCCTATCCAATCCTATCCAACCCTATCTAACCCTATCCAACCCTATCTAACCCTATCTATGTATCGATCACTTCAAAACTCCTGACTACCTTTTTCCACCGTTGTACTGACCTTACTTGCATGGCTAATTACTGACTGGCGTTACTTCACAACCTTTATTGCTCTGACTGCGATGTTGCTTATATGACTTCGAAGTTCATATTACTGATTAATGCTCAGTTGGATTGTAATGTTACTTGTTTGACTTCAAATGTCACATTAGTAACTAGTTTACAGTGCTATACTAGTGATTTTACTTGCTTGACTTCAAAGTGTAGAACGTTTACTAAATCATTGCTTTGCTTGCGATGTGACAATTTCAGAGTTCGCGTTACTAACTAACGGAAAGTTCTGCTTGTGCTTTTACTAATTTCACATCAAAGTGCTCTGCTTATCACGTTACTAATTTCATTTCAAAGTCTATATTACTAACGTGCAGTACTCTGCCCGTGATGTCACTTACTCGACTATAAAGCTCACCTGTAAAAACCTCCGAACTTTCGGAACGACCTCATAGAAAGTGATGAATGACCACTCTGCATCCCCTCGAGTTAGACAGAGAGCAGGTGCGTCAGGATGATTGACTCGAAGTATCCAAAAGTAGCGTTTCGGCCGCTTCGAAGAGCGTGTCCCCAGCAAGACGAGATTGGACCGAGTCCTCTGCAACGCACGTCTCTTGTCCGAAACTCGAGTAAACACTTTGGACACCCAAAGGCGCCTGTTTAAACTTCGGAAAGCGAGGATCCAGCGATTTCGAGTGTTTGGTCGCTCCTCTAGACTCGTGCGAGGAGCTCGACGATGCTTCACCAGGTCCCAAAGCTGAGCTGAATTCCACCCATGCCTACATAGGGCCCAAGTTCTCTCGAAAAGAGTCCCTAAATAAACACCGGATGAGCAGCACGTTCAGTCGTATACCCTGAAACCAACTACGATTGCCTTACAACACGTCTATCGATCAAACCCTCTTGACGACCTATTGACACCTGATGAGTCGGTCCAGGTGACGCGACCTCGCATCATTATCACATCAGTACTTTGAATAGTGCGAAAGAAATCTTTTAATACAAGGATTAATTATTTAAATGGAACTCCTGCAAATTGGATGCAAAATATCCTTGAAGTTATGAGAATTGGTCTCAGTTCATTCGAGTCGGATAATTAGTCTTCGAATTAAGAAAATGTTTCATTGGTTCATCTTTCCCGATGCGTGACGTATGCCTCGACCTTAGAGCCCATCTTAACGACTTATTAACACCTGGTGAATGGGACCAGGTGCCGCGACTTCGCATCCGAAATTTAGCGACCTCGCGTCATCCGAAATTTAGCGACCTCGCGTCATCCGAAATTTAGCGACCTCGCATCATCAGAAATTTAGCGAATGGCCGGAATCTCTCGGGGCGATCGATGGGGGAGGAATCCCTCGTAAAGCTTTTAACACAATGCTCGCTGGTCTAGGTACTCTCTGCGAGACGTACGCGATCCATCCCGACACGTAACGTATGCCTCGACGGCGGGCAAACCCATCCGATACCCGTCCGGGAACTATCCGAGACCTATCCGAGACCTATCCGAGATGGCGGCACGTTCCGCGGGCGAGCGGTCGAGCACTCCTGAGGCGAGAAAGAGATTTACGGGCGGACACGGGCCCGGGGGACTCTATTCTACGCCAATCGAGCCTCGTCCTTCTTAGTGTCACACACCGACGACTGCGAGCCGAGAAGTCACCTCTTACGCCACGCGTTGCCTTCATTACCATATCTTAGATGCGATCTGTATCTCGGATTAATGCACCGGCCGTGCAAACGCGGGCACCGGTAAGGACGCCCTGGGGTCGCGGCCTCACCAGGCCCTGAAGACCCCGACAGGTCTTGGCCTCACCGGGTTCGAGGTCGTTCCACCTAGCTAGAAGATCGGGTTCATGACGTGGCATGATATCCTATCAATCGCGAGTGGAAATGCGATCAATCGGTGCATGGAAACTGGATATCGATGCGTGGAAAACGGATATCGGTACATAGGAAATGGTTATCGGTGCGATACCATTGAACGACATCTGCTGTGGGAACATGGTGGTTGGTCATACCAATACTTTCTATTGGAGTACTTAAATTAAAATATACATTGGTATTGCAGTTAGTATATGATTTTAATTTAAGTACATCATGTAGAACAATTGTAGAGCCTGATCGATTTTCCTACCTCGGAGTTTGCAAGATAGCGAGAGATTTCCTCCGCCAATAGGCCCTCCTTCGTCGGAAACATAAGAAAGTCAAAGAACAGTCGTGTGTTGCCTGTTGCAGGTGAAAACGGAACGACTCACTCCAGACAACAACTCGACCTCGTCGAGGAGTGTGACGCCTTCCTCCTCAAGCCACCCAGGAACGCCGCCCAATGCGACTCCCCTCGGAGGTCCAGAGGGCCCGCAGCCTCCGCATCATCTCAAGCACATGGAGCAGATGATGGGCCGCAACTACAGCGACTTCATGAGGAGCCTGGCCGCCAAGTACAACAACGCCAATCCCAATGAGTAGGTCTGCCTGACTCCGAGGCTTCGGTCTCGATTATCTAGAGGACGCAAAATTAGTCAAGGGGTCGACCAGAGTTTGGGCAGTGGATGGGAGAAAGGGTTGGGTCTTCAGGGTTGGGTCAATTTTGGCTTTGGAGTAAGAAAATAATCCGGCGACACCTGCGTCCCAGAGAGGAGGCCAGAGAACGCCCATGGGGATTAGGGTTGGGGAACGTCTAAGTAGCGGTATGTCCTGACCATCTTCGGCTTGAAAGGGTTAACCGCTTTCTGCGGAAGGGTCGGAGGGCCTTCTCCAGAGCGCGGTCGGCCTTCCTTTATGGGCGCAGGCGAGGTCGCGTGTGCGGACCTCGGATCGCGAGGGCACCATGAATGGTCATGCCTCGGCTCGTGCTCTCCGGACTATAGTTTCTGCTTCGTCTTCCAGCTACTTCAGCACACCCAGGAACGGGTACCCATCGGGCCTGGACCCCAGGTTTCCGGCCTTCAAGACGGCCGCGACGCCCTTCGTCGGACTGATGGCACCCCTGGGGGCGCCGCAACCCCCGACGGTGCCCACGACCTCGCCCCTGTCCTCGAAGGAGGCCAAGGAGCAGAAGCAGGACCCCTTGTTCGGCAATCCCGTCTTCCCGCCCATGCTGGACATGTCCTCCACCCAGGCCCTCCTGCACATGGTTAGGACGGCCAACGCCGCCCAGAACGCCGCCGAGCTCGAGACCTACCTCAAGGGTAGGTTTCCCACTTCTGAACCTGATCGTCCTACCTGGGGAAGTATCCCTGGGGACGTATGTCGCGGTACATCGAAAAATAAGACACTTTTTTCTTACGCATCGTTATTTAATACGAGAGTTTAAGGGATGAATACCACCCCCAACGTTGACCCTCGGTAACATTTCTCTGAAATGTTCTTGTAAAGGAAATAATGTCTAGATCGATACAATTTCTTTGGTTTCATCCTGCGATTCCGGCGAAGTATCATGTTCAGTACTGTTTATGAGAAAGTGTCAAGGAATTGTTTTTAGGGGTGGTCTTTCCTCCTTGCACTCGTGAATTAGAAATTCTGCAAATATACGTGTCTCTTATTTTTTTTTTCTTTTTCTTTTCGATGTACTTACTATGACGGAATTTAATCTGTAAGGCATACCTCGGATACTTTCCTTGTAAGATGGACTAGTTAGCTTGGAAGAGCTAGATCGAATCTTATCGATCTTTCGTCCATCCGAATTGTCAGTCAGGTGTGCTCGTCTTCGACAGGTGCGAATAAGCGGGACGCGGGAGTGACGAGTCCCCTGGACCTCTCCAGCCCTGGAGGATTCGCTCCCAGGAAGCGCCAGAGGACGGAGGCCACCAGGAGGTCCGGAAGTGTCTCGCCGAAGCCTAAACCTGCTCCCAGACCCAGCACACCTCCACCTATCAGGTGTCCATCCCTCTGTGGACACATGCCCTGTGGAGACGGCCAGGCTGTTAATCGCTGGACCATCGAGGACGTCGTCAACTACGTCTCCTCCATCGACATCTGCGCAGAGTACGCTCAGGTCAGTCTTAAACACCTCGGTTATTAACTGCACCTCGACTTCACCGACACAAATTCCAAAGATCCTGATTCCATGATCCATTTTCCTTGTGCAGGATGTGCAGACGACTACTCTGTCCCCATATTTAAAACCGTGCACGTGGTATTTAAAAAGCGATAATAGGATCCCAATATCAGTGGACGAGTTCCAAGGATTAGGTACCTTGCACCTCTAGGATTTTGTTGCTGGTCAGGAACTTCATGAATCCTGATTCCATGATCCATTTTCCTTCTGCAGGACATGCAGACGATTTCTCCGTTTACTAATTCAAGACCATGCAATTGCTCTTCAGGATGGGGTTAACCCTACTCAAGAGTGTCACGAATCCTTCCAGCGTTATCCTGATTCCATGATGCATTTTCCTCCTCACTATATAGGTTCCTTCTGTTTCCTAATTTAAGGGGATATGAAAGTGGCACTTGAGTCAATCGTTCATGAAACTTTTCTCCGAACTGGGTGTGCCGAATCGTTTAAAATCTCACAACGTTAACGCGAAGGCTAGAAGGAAGGTCCTGACACTCTTGGAATTTCATTTTTGGTAACCAATTTTTAAAGAACTGAAATTTCATGAGTTTCAGGACCTTCTTTATATTGTATTGTTTATATATATATTTTTATATTTATATTTATATTTATATCGTAAAGTTGGACTAGATTCGGTACACTCGGTTTGGAGAAAAGTTTCATGAACGAGAACTGTTAGACGTCACTTTCACATTACCTTAAGACCATTTAAGACCATACACGTGCTCTTCAGGATGCGTCTACTCGCTTCACCGCGTATACCAAGGAGCCTAGGATCATCATTATTATACACTGTTCTCATTTACTTCGCGTGACAACGTCTCGTAACGTTTCTCGCTTGCAAGGCCTCCCCGTCTCCCTCTTTCGCCCTCTGCCTCTCTTAGAGGGAATATCATTTAGACAATCTTCCCGAGTAACCGCGTCATAGGTCGCTCGATTTTTCCAAACGCGATTCAACCACCACGACTTATTCCATTACTTTAAGGTGAAGTGAAATGCGTCGAGAAATTCGCTCGACCTCAGTAAGGAAGATTCTTCTAAGTACCTACGCTACCGACGTTGGTATTTGTATTAACAGCTTATTTCTAATTATATTGTGTACCGTACTAAATAACATACTCCGCATGTCGTTTCCGTATAATAATTATAAAGAAATCGAAGTGAAACTTGAAAAATCTCCTGGATTCATGTCTTTTGATGCCCTAATTGAGGGTAGGGTGCCACCCTGCGCCATCTCTGATTTCAGTGTCAACTTAATTTTCTCTCCCAGGCCTCGTGTTACCTTCGTTTCAGCAAAGAAGCGCATAAGACACTTATTTTGCCTTTATCCCGTTCAAATGCGAGTTTCCCAATTACTAGAGTGTTCTAAATCGTTGTACAAGTATTCTGACACCTTTGTTTCTCATATCAGAGCCTTCAATACTTGTATATCGCTCGAAATATGCTTTTAAATATTGCTTTTTTTTAAATCCAAATTTTAAAAGTGTCAGGATAATTCTTAGGCGCTCACGAGTCACGTGTCAAAGTTTTGAGCATTTCGGTCCAATGCCCTTAAAAAAAAATTGTCTTATTCAAATCGACCGATTTGAGGGGGATTTCACTTCACCTTAATGCCGGACTACCTTGCTCCGATTTCTTCCCTCCACCCGGATCTCGATTCCCTATTTCTAAACCCGGGAAGGCATTCCTTGTCTTTATTCCTGCGGCCCTTCCGCCGCGGAATACGAAGACTGGACGAGATCGCCACCGTTTGATCCTGACGTCAGGGGAACGCGTTTCCTTTTCTTCGTGACAGCTCCGCTGATGCTTATACTACTCGGCTCGGTCGAGTACCTCGCATAACGAGCCCGGCATTAATAAGGAGCATCCTTAAATCAGCAGGGTGCAATTAGATCTCCGAGAGTCGGTTGTGTAAGGCCCGAAGATGCGAGGGACTCAGCCGGATTCCCGCAAACTCGGCGGGTCGTGCGGATCATATTAAGGCGATACGAAAATAGCATCCGAAGAGCCAATTGTTTATGCAACTTTTCCCCCGAAGGGGTAGACCGGATCCTTTGAAACCTCGCCACGTGTACATGGAAGCTCCTAGGAAGGTCTTAACACTCGTAGAATTTCATTCTTTCGATAAACCTGTTATACGGTTTTCTCTAAAATGTGAATTTTCACGAGTATCGAGATCTTCCTCAGGACCTGGAGTCACGTGTCAAAGTTTCGGACATTTCTATCCAATACCCTTAAAAAAAGGGTCTTACTCGAGTCGGCTGATTTGGGGTGAGTTTCACTTCACCTTAAGGTGATATGAAAGGATCATTGTATACATATGTACGTGAAAATATTTATAAAACTCTTCTTCAAACTGGATGCACCGAATTATCCGACACTTTGACATGTGATTATGAACGCCATAAGGAAGAACGCGATGCTCGTGAAATTGCATTTTTCGAGAAAAAATGTCCTTTTTTGGGTCCTTGTCCGAGATAAATGGACATTTTTTTTGCGCAAAATGAATTTTCACATCGCGTTCTTCATTAGGGCCTCCATAATCTGGTGATGAAGTTTCAGATGATTCGGTGCCCCCAATTTGGAGGAAAGATTTATAAATATTTTGCCTTTTTGGTATGTATACATGACACTTTCATATCACCTTAAGCCCTGAAAAGCGGAGAGCGCTCGGAAAGGAGTCTGGCAGCGCGAAAGCACGGCCGATGACAAAGGCGAAGACAAGAGTGCTTACGCGACAAGTCGAATAAGGTCCGAGCGACTGGAGGTCACGCGTGGGAGGCGACGAGGCGATCTTTCGTTTCCAGCATTGACTCGCTCTCTCGGTCCCCCGTGGTCTGGCTCGTCTCTCTTGTCTCTCGTGCGAGCACAGAATCGCGGAAGACGAAGAACCTCGGAAACCCGAAGAGGTCCGCATTCATGACTTTCTAACGACCTGGGTAGGCGATCTTCGGAGCATGCTCTAACCCCTGCCCGAGCTGTCTGCCACTCCGGAGTCCCTTGTTACCATAACTTACACCTACGTACTTTATCGAGACGCTTTCCGGGCGCGTTACAATTACTAGCCGGGATTTTTGCCGAGACATTGTCGCGATGAGCCAGGAGAGTCCTGGAGCCAGTCCATCTCGGTCGATTTTAATGGGCCCACGTTGGAGCTGGACCACTTCCGCTTCCATCCACATCTATACGTTCAAAAGAACAATTAAATGATTTATAGCGACATAAGCGACCCAGCTGCTGTCCAGATCAGTCAATGATTCGAGCGTTCTGGTTTTGTCGGCAGACAAATGGATCAAGGTATCGTTGGTGGAGAACAGCGCAAGGGGGTCTGCACGGACCCGTGCGAAAGGGTCCGGATTGGCTCCAAGTGCCTTGTGAAACCCTGTCGATCTCTTGGCTGGGTCTCCGAAAGATCAAAACGCGAGAGCACGCTCGATCGGCCTGATCGCTTATTAATGATTAATTGATTGCCGGAGCTACGCGCGCGGAGGTGTTACACGATAACTCCGCTCGATACGAGAGGCCAAGCTGGGTCAGATCATGCTCCGCGCCGAATCGTTAGAAAGTCTCATTCAACTGCGTGGTATACATTCGAAGGTGTTCCTGGCTGTTCCAGCGAGATGTAAAAGACTCCTTTCCCATCGGAACGAGACCTAAAAACGCGAAACCCGGAAGAAGCCCTTTTAGAAGACGATTTAAAGGGAGATTCTAGCTCGTGTTACAAATCTTGAGCGTTAGCTAGGTCCTAGATTCATGATCTGTCTAGAATTTCTTAGTCAATTTTCCAGGCAGGCAGGGAAATGGGTGGTGTGCCTCTATTTTATATGAGTTTCGAGTCGATTTTGCGTGGAAAGGAGGGCTTCTTAGGGTCTTCCAGGACAGGTGAGAATGTGCGTACAGGAAGAGTAGAAAGTCGTTGAGCTTATTCGTTGTACACGACGGAAGCATCGGCTGGTCGAGATCCGCTGAGCGTCACGCAACGGCGAAGGTCCGGACACGTGGTCGGCGTTGCCCCACGTTAATTAGACTGGAGAACCACGTGCGCGCTTTCTCCCCCGTCGTCCGCTCGATTCCGGAGCGATCGCTCGATCGATCATTCTCGATCGGATCGACTGCCGCCTCTCTAGCTCCTTCCGATATTTCCGCAAGGTCCGCTCCATATTCCCGTACAAATGTACACCGAACGCGACAAATGTACTCAACGCTGTCGAACACTACACCGAGAACGGTCAAATCGGGACGTTCATCTTGACAACTGTAAACGGGAAAGAAGTGTTCTGTACTGACTACACCTATGCAGAAAATCTGCAAGAACTCAAGCTAGAACCTGGCTAGGACGCCAATTTAGCAGAGTAAGGCCTACATTGAAACGTCACACTTGTCTCCATGTGGGTCCTAGATAGCCACCACCAGGGAAAGTCTGTCTAAATTAAACCTAACCAGGTTTTGGTTTGGCGTTACTTAGGAAAAATTGTCATGGGTCCATGGATTTCCACGCGGGTATTAGGAAGGAGGAAACGCTGTAGATGTGGAAAAACGGTGACTGGATTGATTATACATTTTTCATGGGTTATTGGAGGAAGGGGAACGAGCGACGTGCGGAGTCGCGGACCCGGAAACGTGCGCAAAGCCGTCCGGTCGGCCTACGCGGGACTTAAGGCCCAGATTCGAGGGGCCGACGGCGCGACTCTCGGCCCTCTCGACTACGCGGTGCGCCTGGTTCGCGAACCTCGGCGAGAGCCATCACTCACGTTTTCTACGTGCGCGGGTCTCGGGAATCGAGCAGTCGCGGTTACCACACATCCTCTCGAGAGCCTAACCTCAAAGTCCTCGTTACCCCGACCACGTCGCCGAGCCTAGCCAATGGGTGCCTGCAGACATTGTAATCTCGGCTCGGTTACTAACGACGAGACCTCGACAACAAGCCGCTTCGGGTA